CTAGTCTTACACTGCTAAATTAGGGACGGCTAGCGCAGATAGCCCTCGCGAAATTCCAAAACAAAACTAATAATTAAGACGGCCCCCAGTGGCACAGCGGGATATCTGCGGACTTACAATGCTAGATAGCCCATTGTGTAGCTTTGTATTTAACTTCAAAGTAAACAAACAAACAGTAATTATGACTGGTAATGTTTCTTTTTTTTTAACTTTTTTAGATGACTTTCACGTTTAGAAATAATTTTAGATAACCAAGTTCTACCTTCGTTCTTCAGTCTAATGTAATTTGTCTCACAGTCATAAATTGACTTTAAATGACATATTGATAAACAAAGTTTTCTTTCAAGATTGTGACGACTGTGAGGACGAGTATGAAGGAGATTGTCCTGTTCATGGACCACTGTTGGTGATAGAGGACAAAAAGGTACGTAGACTATTTTAACGATTTGATACACGTAAATAAATATATTTAGTTCATCGACTACAGTTCTGTGTTTAATCTGTAAAAATCCACAAAGTATATAGTATGTTTATAGCAATATATTCTAAAACAGTTCCATCAAGGTTTGATATGACCTGGATTTAAAAAAATGTCTACACCTGGGATCTAGAGATTGTTTTATTGTTTCTTCTCACCATAAGATGTAGAGTTTGTTCTATTGTTTCTTCTCACCATAAGATGTAGAGATTGTTCTATTGTTTCTTGTCACCATAAGATGTAGAGATTGTTCTATTGTTTCTTGTCACCATAAGATGTAGAGATTGTTCTATTGTTTCTTCTCACCATAAGATGTACAGATTGTTTTATTGTTTATTCTCACCATAAGATGTAGAGATTGTTCTATTGTTTCTTCTCACCATAAGATGTAGACATTGTTCTATTGTTTATTCTCACCATAAGATGTAGAGATTGTTTTATTGTTTATTCTCACCATAAGATGTAGAGATTGTTTTATTGTTTCTTCTCACCATAAGATGTAGAGATTGTTTTATTGTTTCTTCTCACCATAAGATGTAC